GAGTAGAAAATGCAGCACTGATGTGTTATTTTCACAAATGATGCAAGCCAAACGTTCTACCATGCTGGAGAGTTGCAAACTGTTAGCTTCTACAAGCCAAACCGTGCTCTGCTCCATCTTTGCTACATCAACTCAGCTTTCCATGGTCGCAAGCCAAGGCGGGTGAGTCCACGACTGCAAAATTTACAGTTACATAGATCTGTGTGTCTTTTTCTGACTGGAGTGCTTCCCCACCTATTGGATTTTTCCAGCTCATAGGGCCTTTCCACCGGACACATAAGCTCTGCGTCACATCTGCGATACCTAATACGCAGCAATTAGCCCCGTTATGGGGGATGGGTGCGTTTCCAATGGTTGCAAACACACGTTTTGGATATGTCTCAAAAGCGTAGGGGCACATTGCTATACTAAATTTACACTTTGAGTCTAAGACAGGAAGTGAAACACAAAAGCAGTGTAAAACATCCACAAACTTTCAAAATAAAACTCACACTGATTTGCAGCTGCTTAGCCAGTCAAAAAACAAACTGAAAATAAACCACAGACCATTTTGGACATGCTGCCATTTTCTTCCTTGCTTGTTATCATGTGAATTGCCCAAATTACGAATGGCCTTGGTATTCTCAGTCCGTGCCCTTGCAGGAAAAGCTGTGTGGAAAAGTGTTGCTGCCACTTTGCGCCTGAAACACTCCCAGTGGGAAGGGACCTCTCAGGTAAAACAAGTCAATTACATTATGTATCGCTAATGCATCCAGTGGAAAGGCTGGTCAGAGTAACCAATTGTGCTTCAAACAGAACTACTTCAATGAACTTTATACATTATTATGTATTTTAGCTAAATATTCTACAGATCATTCATTGCCCTGCAGTCTTACAACACCTCATCTTGAAAAGTTAAACCTCCTTTTCAACCAGGAGCAATTCTGACGTGAAATGACATAGAAAGTGTTCCACACATCTGATCCTGTGAGGTCACAAGATCACGGGTGTATTACGAAATCACGCGTGATTTCAGAAGTTACAAGCAAGGAGAAAGACAGCTGCACGTATTTAATTTCCTATTCTTTTTACATCTGCTACAGGGGATTTAACAGGAAACAATGTACTTGTATCTGCACGTGACTTTTATTTTGAATGTTTCCAGATGTTTTATACAGTTTTTGTGTTTGAATTCCTGTCTGGCCTGTTCTAAACAGCCGATTTTGATGTGCTTTGTGAAACGTAATGGCAGGGCCCCTTGGCTTCTGGGACACATGCAGAACTTTACAATTTGCTGCCAGTGGAAAGGAACCCATCCACTATAACGATGACTAATTACCACAAACTATGTTTTGTGATGCTTTCATGTCTGGCATAAAGGAGGCTTTAGACTCTGGCTAACATTAGTAGCCATATTTTTTTATTTATGTTTAAAGGTGTCATTCATTTTAGCCCAATCCCACAATTTCTGGCAGTAGCAGAAAATGGGATCAAATTTGTTCTTCTGGTGGCTCAAATCTCTGCTTATCTCCTGAGCTTCTGTTTGGGTTGCACTCATATCTGAGCTGCAGCATCAGCATTCGACCGAATCAGCATGGCAGGCTGTGTGACCACGAGGGCAATGTAATCATCCCAACTGTTAGACAAACATCAGTCAAACTCAGCTTCCCTCTCCACCTTTTTTTCCCCTATTGCATTTGAGGAGGACTGTTTTGAGCTTTGAGGATGACGTTGTAATCAGACAAGCAGCGTTATACAACAAACTATAGTCATTAAAATAAAAGTTGTTAACCTAGTTTCTGTATTTTTGTCATAACGATCAAAATAGCCCTTCCTTGTGTCTTTTTTTGCCTCATTTCTGTCTTTCTGTTCATCTTTTTTAAGCCAAGAGAACACTTCATTTTTTTCAGGCACTTTGAACACAGTTATACAGACACATACATTAGCCTCTGCTAGTTTCAAAACCCCATTAGACCTAATTTGCAGAGCTTTCTTACTGCCTCTGTCATCTTCACACACACACACACACACACACACACACACACACACACACACACACACACACACACACACACACACACACACACACACACACACACACACACACACACACACACACACACACACACTAAACACTGCACTACCACACTCATGTAAATTAAGGGCAGCTCATTAAGCACAGTTTCTTAAAGAATCAAAGATTTTTCAGGCACACTTAAAATGTCTCCATTTAGTAAATCTTTGCCTTTATTTATTTATTTAATTGTTTGTTTGTTTCTTTATTTATTAATGTGAAAACACTTCAGAAAGCAAAACATTGGTTCAAATTTGATTTTCTATTTTCAGATGATAGCTAAGTCAAATCTTCTGAATAGACTTATTTACGCACTTTCACACAAGTACATCACTAATTCATCTCACAACAAATAACATTTGATCAATAAAACAGTAAATGATGGAGAATGAACTTTAATTTTTATTATTGAACTAAAACGAGTGATATGTAATGTGACACTCGTTGCTACGGTGACTGTTTCCCTCTGAGATGTAGTTTAGCATGTACCTGTATGCATGCAGGTATCTGTGAGGTTGTGTTCATATATATACCTTGAGCCTCAGTGTGTGTGTGTGTGTGTGTGTGTGTGTGTGTGTGTGTGTGTGTGTGTGTGTGTGTGTGTGTGTGTGTGTGTGTGAGTGTGTGATTTGATGGCAGATCCTCTCACTTCAGAGGGGTAAAGTGTGAGTATCTGGGCCCTCAGGGAGCTGATGGAGAGCCAGGTGTTGCCTCCTGTCTCACCTCCTGTATCAAGGGAGACAAACAGATGAGAACTTTAATGTTTTTTTGATGCGAGCGTTACAGAACGATGCCCCGGAGCTTCTCAGTCACCCAAACAAAGATGACAGAGTGCAAGAATGTTGACAAGGTGAAAACAAGTTATTCTCTTTTGACTATATATATATATATATATATATATATATATATATATATATATATATATATATATATATATACATAGAGAGAGAGAGAGAGAGAGAGAGAGAGAGAGAGAGAGAGAGAGAGAGAGAGAGAGAGAGAGAGATGCTTTGTGCAACTTGTCACCTTCCTTCACCAAAAAGACAACTATTGATTTCAGTGATTGCTCTCTTTCCACCATTTTGCCCCATGAGCATTGACTCAGACAACGTTCTATTTTAGGCATCGTTCATTTTCTGCCCACTGAAATGGTCTAATCTCCCATTCTGAGAAATCAATAAAGCATTAATTTATCTAATAAAGTAAAAGATTTAGCGAATCACATTTCCAACTAAAATCAAACTGCTTGCTGATTTATTATTCCCAAGGAATTGCAGATTTTTGTTTTGTCTAGTTATTTTTGGTCATTTTAATGCATCCTTTGTTTAAAAGACCTCTGATGATTCCCGGAGGAAAAGCTCTGCCAGATGCTTGGAGGGGATCCTCATGATCCGCTGAATTGCTACTCGAGGTGCAACGATGGCAGAGGAGTTAAGTGCCAGACTGGTAACTGGAGGGTTGCAAGTTCACCCTTCGTTCAGTCTATTACTGTATTCCGATATTAGTCCCATTTTTTAATCCTTGTGTCCCTGGGCAAGACACTTCACCAGCTTTGCTTGCTACTGGTGGTCAGAAGGACCAGTGGCACAAATTGTCTGGCAGCCTTGCCTCTGTCAGTTTTCCCTAGGGCAGATGATGTAGCTCCTTAATAGCAGGGTGTGTATATGGTAATGCAAATGAATGTTGCATTGTAAAGTGTCTTGGGGGGATCCAGGACCCTTGAAAGTGCTTTGTAAATACAGGATTTGGAGAGTCTAAAAAGGGCAAAAGGCAAAGTGCCCCACAAAACAGCCTGGAAGAGCACTAGGGCATCAAAAGTCCTCCACCAGAGTTAGGTAGCAGATGCTGAACCGATCTGTTTTGGTGAAGAGAGAGCCAAACTGTAAGCAAAGCCCTCAATCTGCTAGCTGATCAAATAAGGTACTTTCTTTCATTGCCTAACTTAAATCGAAGTAGTTCCACGGTCTGTGTCTATGATTTTAGAAAAATTTCTGGCGATTAAAACCTGGCTTTCCACAAATTTCCTTCATCTAAATGAAGACAAAGTGATGCTATTCTCTTTACACGGATTTCAAATGCTAGCCCACACTTGGACTTATCCTCACAGAGTTATTACAGTTTTAAAGGTATGTAGGGGGCGCTGTGGTGATAATAAACAACGTTCACCAACCGTTTGGGCCTCATTGGCTAAAGGGCATGACTGTTGATTGCCATGTTCAGTCTCGTGCAGATCGGAGGCTGTTTGCGGAAGTTACAGTCAAACGTAAGGTCACGTCATCACGCCAGAATTCGCCATGGGATCAAAGCCCCTTTCTTTCTGGAAAGCTATCAGAACTGAATGGTCATTACAATATCATGAAGTCAGTGCATGACCTTAGTGTCATGTTGACTAAATTAGAGGGGACAATTATGGGCATTTCACCATAAAACAATCGACTTACTGTTGTCAGGGGGTGGGGCTTAGGTGATGTCAGCTGTCCACATTGTCACTGTCTTGAGATGTGGTCAGTAATCACACAAACAAAGTTTGATATGGATCTGATGATGCACATGGGAGTTATTACGTCAAGTAATGTAATGGTGAAAGGTCAAAGTTTGAGGCTTAGCCACGCCCACAACTTTCAACTTTTGAAAAATCCGACAGTTGAATTTTTTCCCCTATGTCTTAAGAGTATATAGCAGAAGTGTGAAGGCGATTGGTGAAAAGGGCAATGGGGCATCACTCTCCATACTACGTGTGCGAAAACCACAAAATTGAGTACTTGGACCAAAATGGCCGACCTTCTGTGCGACTTTGCTCTTGGCTCCAAGAGGCTTTTTTGTAGATCCTGAGACACTACATTAGTGTACCAAATTTCGTAATCCTCAGTCATAGCATGGCTTGGGGCTGACAATTTTAATGGTCCTGGGGGGGGGGGGGGGGGGGGGGGGGGGTATTTAAGAAAATCGGCCACGGCCACCAGATTTTCACATCAGATTTTTTGGGGGGGCCGGACTAGGATCACTCACCAGAAGTTTCGTGGCGATATCTTTAGAAATGACGAAATGGGAGGCAAACCATCAACATAAATATACTGGACATCTCCTTTCCATAGGCTCCAATATCACGTTTTTGAGGCCAAACGGGAGGTGGCCACCACCGCCATTTTGACCATGTCACAGGTTCCATCAAGCCCAGACAATTCCAAAAAAGGGAAGAGAGGAGGAGCTGAGGGTGGGGCTGTAAGGCTGGGATCACCTGACGACACCCGGTCGAACTAGCTACAAGCTGACCTGAAGCTAACCCTGGCTAACCCAAAGCTAACGCGGAGGTGGGAGGAAAGCTAACGGATGTAGCTCCCTAGCTTCAACTGGAGCTAGGATGGAACACCCATCGACCTGAAGCTCACACGAAGTTTAGGTGGAGGTTTGTGGCGCTTTTCCGTGAAAAGTACCTTTCTGTGACAAAAAAAGGATTAAATCTGTAAGTTTTATAATTTATTTCCGAAATGAAAATATACTTTTTTGAGCAAGTTTGGAATATTTTTAACGTACCGTATTTTCTGGACTATAAGTCGCTCCGGAGTCACACCAGCCATAAACTCTATAATGAAGAAGAAAAAAACATATATAAGTCATATTTTGGGGGACATTTTATTATTTTTCTTACAAAATCTGAGATCAAGCGTTTCACATTGCAAGACAAGCACCGGTAACAATAACAGAATAAACAACGCAGGCACAGCAGTGCGCCACGGTCTCCAGCAGAGGATGGCGGTGTTTGAAACCCTCCCAGCGGGACAGGGTAACTCATTCTTGGGTCGGAGTCAGGTCGGAGTCGGCTCGCAGCAGCTCGGTGTAGCCTACATATTTTGTTATAGAAGTCGCTCCGGAGTATAAGTAGCAGAACCGGCCAGACTATGTAAAAAAGTGTGATTTATAGTCCGGAAAATAGTATTTGAGATAAATTAGCAGGCTAAATACATTTCATATCTTTCCAAAACGTAATACTTGTTTGTATCTTGTACAGCCAAGTAGCCTTTATTCTGGACTCAGTACAATTCACCTAAAGTAAAGAGACATTATACAGATGAAGTAAGCACAAGATAACTTACTGGAAGAAACAGAATTATTATCATGAGAACCAGAACAAGACAGCCTGATAAAGTCACGTTAAAATAACAGTTAAAAAGTATGTATCTATAATAGAAATAAAAATATATTAGAATTAGTGTAACTCACTGTGATCCAAACAATAAATCAGCAATAGCTGATTAGCAATCATGAAATGAGGTCTGGGAGTTTTTAAGTTTCATTCTTTAATTACATTTTTTTCTTAGATCTGTTAAAAGGTCACCATGGCAGCCTGTGTATCTCCAACATCAGCTACACATCGCAGCGTGTAAGTTCCAAGTACCTGTCTTGACCACTTCATGTATGGTTTTGTACTTTAAACAGCAAGGCCAAACCTGTTATTTTTTTCTCCATAGCCATTTGGATAATTGGAGACAGCTACGTGAGGCGTGGTGCCCAGAGAGCTGCAGAGACCCTCGGAGACAACCTTGGCCTCCCTGACTTCTGTGTCTCCTGGTTCGGTTGGGGCAGACTGAGGTGGAAAGACCTCCTCCCCTTCTTTTTCTCCTCCCTGCATGGAAGAGCAGCTCCTGATGTCCTCATCATCCACTGTGGCGGCAATGACATGGGGGTGGTCAGCAGTGTGAAACTGGTCAACATGATGGAGGACCTGCACCGGCTTCACCTTCTCCACCCTCATATGACCATCATCATGTCGTCTAGCACCCAAAGGTGTAGATGGAGGGCAGGTGTAAAACCTGCTAAAATTGAGAAGGCCAGGAGGTTCGTCAGCAATGTAATGGCTACTTTTATTTCTAGTTTAAAGGGTGCCATTATTGTGCATTCTCACATCAGACATGACAGTCCAGGGATATTTTTGTCAGACAAAGTTCATTTCACAATTAGGGGAAATGATATATTTTTAACTAATATTGCCGATTGTCTTAAAGGCCAGCTCCAAAAGCAGTGAGACTTCCAGGTGGGAGTCTCGCTGGCAAACAAGCCCAAGTTATACAAGCTACTAAATTCTGCTTGTTGAGTTTTCTACCTGTTTGCAAATGCAAATGCAAAAAGCAGAATGTCAATTAATGTATTTCATGTCCTCTTGATTCTCCCTCATTCCACATTCTTCTCCTTTAGCCCTTTTGATGTATTCACAAGCACCATGAAAACGTTCATAGCAAACCGAAACCTAGATAATAACTATTTTTTGTTACATGGTGTCCTGGTAGGTTCCAAACAAAAACCATTTAATTATTACAAGTTGCAATTCTTGTAATAACCTAACCCTAACCCTGACTTTTAAGATAATTAAAGCAATCAGAAGAGGTTCCAAGTTCGGGTAAAACTCTAGTTGGTTACAGTAGTTGTTGTTGATGATTTATCTGTCCATCTTTTCAGAGGTGATTTTTATTTTTTAGTTCTGCACAAATGGGAGGAGACAACGTAGTTTGATGTGATTACTGCATGTCCTCATTTTCCCACCATGGTAAGATACATTGTGAAATGTACCCAATTTTCAATTGTTATTGGATTGGCTTCTGGTTGTAAAGCTTCAGGAGTCGAAGTCAAAGATTTGCCCATAGCCCAGAAACAATGGACCACAGATGTTTGATGGACAGATCACCACCACGTCTACAATCAATCCGATCTAGAACTCATTAGTACAGACTTTGTGAAGCGTTACAATTAGATTAAAGGACAACAAGGTCAGAATTGGTGTAGCACTGGTCAGTATTCACTCAACACAAAAGGCTGAAATTAATAATACTATTAATAATTTCTTTACTTTAATGATTAAGGGTAGGGATAAATACATATTTTTCTACCTACTCCTTTTTGAAACTGACCAAGGTTTTTTAATGAACTGGAGGGGACTACTTCATTAATTTCTTTATTTTTTATTATCTCAACGCCAACCAACGCAGAACTTGGCGCGGTTCCATCGACCCAGTCCAACGCTGAACCCGGCGCGGTTCCACTGGCCCGGCCCAATGCCGAACCCGGCACGGCTACACCAGCCCGGCCCAACGCCGACCCAGCGCGGTTTCACCGACCCGGCCCAACGCCGAACCCGGCGCGGCTACACCAGCCCGGCCCAACGCCGAACCCGAGGCGGTTCCACCAGAGGTACTTAACCAGGTTCTACCGGGCCTGGAAACAGCATCGGGTGGATTCTATGGTCGGTGACGAGTAGATACAACGATCGGAAACAGCGGCGGCAGAGTGTGGATTGGAGAAGGGTCTGGAAACAGCAATGGAGGCATGTGGATCCTACGGTCGGCTCCTGAACAAGAAGCAGCAAAGTTGCAACTATAAGTAAAAATGCCACCTAAAAACTAAGAAGAAATAGAGGAGATAAAGAAAGCATTAGACTTCATGTCAGAAGAGCTATCTACAGTTGCTAAGCAGCAAAAGATGATCATGGATCTCGTAGGAGAAATTAAAGAGTTAAAACATCTAAATGAGGACAAAGATAGAAGGATTATAAGTCTGGAAGGCTATATAACAGAACTCGAGCAGTACACCCGCATGAATGATGTCATCATCTGCGGATTGGAGATCAAGCCCTGGTCTTACGCCAGGGCAGTTACACAGCAGGAAGGCGAGGTGCACACTGACATGGACACGAACTCTCTGGAGAACAAGGTGACGACCTTCCTTACTAATAAAGGAATAGCTATATCTAACACAGACATTGAAGCTTGCCATCCATTGCCCCGTAAAATCAAAGATGCCAAACCTGCCATAAATTTACGATTCACAAACGGGAAATTTAAAAATGCCCTCCTCAAACAAGGGAAAAATCTCAAAGGAACTGAAATGTACGTGAATAAACATTTAACAAAGAAAAATGCAGAGATTGCAAGGAAGGCACGTATCTTAAAAAAACTGAGAAAAATACAGTCAACATGGACAGCAAACTGTAAAATATTCATTTCCAAAGTCTTAGCGATTAAACACATAGAGGAGCTGGAAAAGTATGAGTGACTATGGAAATGAATGCAGGTAAAGTAAACCATAAGAATAATGATGACACAATCTTCTGACCACACAGAATATAAAGTATACGAATTAGATAACTATATAGATCCAGAAAACTATCTCTATGACAATACAAACAACTGTGAATATTTCATAGAGGAAACCTTTAACAATAATGTTAATATGGACGGAGCATTGTCAATAATTCACTTCAACAGCAGAAGTCTAAACAAAAATTTGGGTAAAATAAAGGACTACTTGAAAAACTTTAAGAAATTCAATATAATTGCCATATCGGAGACCTGGCTAGACAATGATATACTCACTGAAGTGGAAATAGATGGATGTGAACTATTCACAATGAACAGGAGAAATAAAAAAGGAGGTGCATCTATGCAGCTAATGACCTGAGATGCACAATGCTCAAAAGTATGACTGAAACAGTTGAAAACATCTATGAATGCTCAACTCTGGAGATAAATATTGAAAAATCTCCAAATATAATCATTTCTTGTATTTACAGAACACCTGGAAGCTGCCTCCAGACTTTTGCAGATAGAGTAAACGAGATATATGACAAAGTAAATAACAGAAAATCGATAACAGTATGTGGTGATTTCAAAACAGACCTGTTAAATCCAAACGAACATGTTAAAACCGCTGATTTAATAAACACAATGTACACCACCAACTTATTTCCTTTGATCACAAAACCTTCCAGAATAACAGTAAATACAGCAACACTAATAGACAATATATTCATAAATAAAAGAGAAAATAAAATAACTAGCGGGTTACTCATCAACGGTGTTAGGGACCATCTTCCAGTATTTGCCATTATACAAAACTTGAAAAATACTGGAAATAACACAAAAATAGACAAGCCCAAACTGACCCGGTGCCGAACAGCGGAACACATTGCAGCGTTTAAAATGGACTTAAAGAATGAATTCTGGGAAGGACTGTTCCAAGTAAAGCATTTGAAACCTTTTTAACAAAAATACTTGAATTATACAATAAAAACTGTCCAATTAGAAAACAAAACAACAAAATAATAAGCCATGGATGACAAAGGGTCTACAAAATGCCAGTAAAAAGAAGAATAGACTATACAAAACTATTCATAAAAACAAGAACAAAAGAGGCAGAAAACAGATACAAATCATATAAAAACAAACTAACAACTATAATTAGAACTAGTAAAAAGAAATACTATGACAAATTACTACAACAGAACAAAAGTAATACCCAAGGAATATGGAAAATATTAAAAAATATTATGAATAATAACGATAGCAAAAAAAGCCCAATTGTGAAAATGGAATTCCTATAAATGAACATGGAAAAATTGCTAACGTACTAAATGATTATTTTGTAAATATCAGGACCAATCTAGCTAAAAATATAGGGTAACCCAAAGTTGAAATGGATGTTACTGAACACATAACTGCTAATATAAATACCATGTTTATTAAGGACACTGATGAAAAAGAAGTCATTTCCACTGTAAAAAAATGTAAAGACAATAGATCAAAAGACTCTGAGGGTTTTGACATGTCATTAAGAAAAATCATAACAGAATGTATTGCAAAACCGTTTGCATACATCAAAATCAAATCATTTAAAATCATTTAAATCAATCATTTAAAACAGGCATTTTCCCCAGTAAAATGAAAATTGCGAAAGTTATACCAGTATATAAATCAGGTGATAAAAAACTGTCATCCAACTACAGGCCAATCTCTCTATTTTCTCAGTACTCCAAAATAACATTTGTAAGCAGATTGGATGATTTCATTGAAAAAAAATAATCTAAGTGAGCACCAGTATGGATTCAGAACAAAAAGATCAACGGCAATGGCAACAATTAGCATGGTAGAGGAAATAGCTAAAGCGATTGATAATAAAATTAATACAATAGGAATTTATTTAGATCTTAACAAAGCCTTTGATACAATAGATCACAATACCCTGCTAACCAAATTATATAAATATGGCGTAAGAGTGTCGCGTGCCCGTCCCATTTACCGGTTCCTTTAAAACCCAGTTCCGTTAGAACTTATGAGACGGTGCATCCATCAGGGTTCGGGGGTGTGTCGACGAGTATAATCGTACTAGACCCGGGTTTGGACTACCTAATTAGAATCTTGTCTTTTATTTTAAAGGTGAAATAACTTGCACGAATAGCCAGCCCCAGAGTATTACACTTCTTTTAAACTCGTTACCTTTTGGTTAAGATACTAGAGAGAAGTCTGGAGGCAAGCCAAGCCTCTCAGCAATTGTTTGGATTACCCGGAATTAATTGCGCCTCTAACAGCTTATGTGGGAGGTTGGTAACTATAAAATGATTTATGCTAGTTGATCAGGCTATCATAATTTTATCAATTTATTTATTAATCCAACCTTCCAGCTGATTAGAGACTTTTTCAACCTGCAATCAGAGCCAAAATAACCTCGAATATTTTGCTTTTATCGCCCTTAAGACAACTCGTTACTCGCAAGGAGGGGAAAGTTAAAACTTCCCTTATCTTAAGGTTTCTTTATATTATTCTGTTATAAACTGTAAAGTAAGTCCTGATAATTCAGAGACCGATCTTCGACATGCTTACCTCTGTGCAATTATGGCCAGGGCCCCAAACGTGAAGCTTTAGAGAAAACCTGAAAGAATCAGGATTATGTTTCTTTTTCAAAAAAGGTTTATTACAAAATCAAAATACAAAAAATGGGTAAAGTGAAAAACAACTGCTACACTGTAAAAAAAGATTTGCTGACTCAACTTGACTCAGTCTAGTTTCCTTGTTGCTTTGACTCAGTTAAGTTTTGTCAACTATCACGATCAAGTCCAGAATACTTAATCAAATGCGTTGAAGCAACTTAAATTAAGTTGACTTGACTATTCCTATTGAGTATACTGAACTTAAAATTATTAGTCAAAATAAACAAATAAAAATCGATATTAAGTTGAGTTAACTTTTTTGTTTTTGTTTACCCAACTTGACTCAGTAGTTTCCTTGTTGCTGTGACTCAGTTAAGTTACATCAACTAACTAATTGTAGTTCAAGCACTTAATAAGAGCTATTGTGTCAACTTTAATCAAATTGGTTTGACTGCTCATTACAATTATAAAGAAATAAAAAAACATGTTGGTTAAACTTAGTTTATTGTTGTTTTCAAACTCCTAACAAGTTGAATTGACTTATTTATATTTTTTTTTACATTTTTTGTAACAAAATAGACAAAGTCATTAACAAATTGTTTCTTAAAACATGCCCTTTTGAAAATGTTTACTCTTAAAAATAATTCAAGCCTTAACCAGAAAAGGTAAGACATTAGAAAAGCCTAATGTAACAAAGAAGTAAAATGTCCTTGCAAAGGAAAAAAAGAAAGAAAAAAAAACCATTTTTGAATAAAAATCTTTAAACAAGATGTGCAATCTCATAACAAGTCACAACAACAATTTAAACATCATTAAACATTTTTGCTGTGTCTAGTGACTAACTGCATTTTTTCGTTTCTTTTTAAAACACAGAAAAGGCTTTTTTACCTTGCTGACAGTTTCGTCTGCTGACTGCAAAACTTCATTAGAGCTGGGACGTTGATGGTGGCGTCACTAAATGGGAAGGAAGTGACACCACCATCAGCGTCACAGCTGTGAGGAGGTTTTGCAGTCAGCAGACAAAACTGTCAGCAAGGTAAAAAAGCCTTTTCTGTGTTTTAAAAAGAAAAGAAAAATGCAGTTAAAAACAACACTTGTACATTTGTCACTGAAAATTTTAAGATGTATGGTTTAGTCACCACCAAAATTAACTACTGCACACATTTCTGTGCAACTGGTTTAACAAAATCATGTTATACTCACATCTCCATCTTAAAGTGATACTTCACATTTTTTGACATGAAGTTGTATAGCTTCCTCACCACCAACATAGTGCATTAATTTACATCTCAAAAATAAATCTGCATGAATTTCCAACTTGATATTACGTGGGATATCAATTGATATTACACTCTTTGCATTGAAATCGATGCAAAATTTGCTCTGACTCCCCTCCTCCTCTAGATCCGCTGCTAGGAAAGTCACACAGCTTTATTTTTGAGATGTAAATTAATCATGCTTTCAATGGCAAATTGTTATGTGAGGCTGAAGTGCAGATACCGTACTCCAAACTAGCCGGGACTATGTTCTGGAATCACTTCTCCGGGGCAAGTCTCTGGCCAGGAGAGGGAAGGGGAAGATGTGTTAGTGTTAATGCACTATGTTGGTGGTGATGATGCTATACAACTTCATGTCAAAAAATGTGAACTATCCCTTTAAAGTCTTAAAAGTGAAAGGTTTTATGAGGATAACAAACTGAACTGAACCTTTAATACATGTTGACTTTCATTTCAGTTTTTTTCTTCAAGTCAGTCACACTGCAGCTGATGCAAACAGACGATACACTATAAAACAGTATCAGAGTTGAATGTTGGATTGAAGAACAGACTATTGAATACACAATACAGAAACCACAATAAACAACAAACTGAATTTACCATGGTGACATTACTTAACCTCCATTTCACCTGACCCAAACAAAGAAACAAACAAACAAAAAAACACCACAAATTATTTAAAGACCAAAAGTGATTGGTTCATCCCAAGCAGTTGCTTCACTTGAGAAGTGCATTTTTCAGGGAATGGACCCTGGCAGAGCATGAGTCGATCCCAAGTCCCATGAAAAGACGCTGAATTACTTCAAAAGTGTATTTCATGTCTTTGGGATAGTTGAGGTTCAGCACATACATCAGTCCCATCAGTGTCATGAAAGCATTAGGTAGGTCACGTAGGTGACGAATCACAATGTTTGCCTCAAGCACAATGGCAACATCAACAAAAAATGATGGTAGTGGTTCACTGACATCTTCTAAAACAAGAAGGATTCCTACCACTATTCCCTTGATGAGATCATCTTCAGCATCAGTTGGCTTAATGGAAAAAAAAGAACATGATACAACTTTAGGAATAGAAAAACAACTTAGAATAATTGTTCTGCAGATTATTTTGTACTGTTAACCCTTATACATCATTAGGGACATTATTGTAATTTTGGAAAATAGAGGAAGTGTTGTTTTTCCCATCTTGCTGTTAGGGGTGCAGCAGGCCATCATTGATCAGTGAGCCAAATGGATCTCTCTCTTTGGTTTGGCATGCATGCGGTCCTTTGGATCGGTCACGTGGAGGGAGGAGGTGCTACACAGCACAGCACAGCAATAGCATTGTTAGTATAACAATAATAATAATAATAAATATTATTATTATTATTATTCATGATCCATTTACCGTATTTTCCGCACTATAAGGTGCACTTAAAAACCTTTGATCTTCCCCTGAACCGGAAGTGCGCCTTTTATGCGGACGTGAGTGAGGCCAGCCACATCTTTTTTTTTTTTTATAAATCTTTATTACTATCAATATCAAACAGTACCGTACAGTAATTTAAGGCCAGCCACATCTGCGTCCGCAGGAAAACGAAGAGCCGGCCCATAGCACCGCCCACCCTCACCAAATAAGGTGTGGCACTGCTCCACGCAGTTATACCGGTAACTATGGCACCAACAAAGAGACAGGCTTATGAGGCAGAGTTCAAGCTCAAAGCCATCGCTCACGCCGTTGAGCATGGAAACAGAGCAGCAGCGAGAGAATAACATTAACGAGTCGATGGTCCGCAAGTGTAGAAAGATGGGAGACCAGCTGCTGCTGAAACACCACAGAAGCCCCCCCAAAAAGGAAAAAAAAAAACTCTTCGGATTTACACGATTCACGTGAACACACCATTTGGCTTTAAAAATGGCGATTTTCGCCAAAAAGCGACAAGTTTGCACGTATGTATTAGACAATTTTATGATCATTAAAATTTTCAAAAGTTTGTGAGGTTGTGCCGGCAGTTGGGTTTGTGCTGTAAAGCCGTTCCGCGTTATAATTTCTGTTGTAAAGTACTCCACAAAGACATAAATAGCTGCGTCGCAACCGCAGATAGGACTGGCGCCTCGGTGCTTCTGGGATGCGTCGCAGCACTCCCTGTGTGCCCACTTCCATTAATTATAATGGGTTCTATTTAAAATCACAGTGTGGGCGCGACGTACTACGGCACGTCCGCCTCCAGTGTGCCCCACGCTTTAGGCTCCCAATTCACATAACACACCAGCATGTGAATGTGTGTGTGTGAATGGGTGGTTGACTGATTGCGTTGCTTGGGGGGAGGGGTGGTTGTAGAACCCTAGAAAGTGCTATACAAATACAAGTCATTTACCATTTACCAATTATGATCAGAAAAAAATTGACATGTTCCTATTAAATATGTATTCATGTATGCATTTAAATCACAAATGTTTCTTACCTCACATATCTTCAAGAGTGTGAAAGGATTTTCTTTCATGTACCATGGCAGGCCCAGCAACACAGCAGTCCTTTTTCTTAGGTTTGATGGCTGTGAAAAAGAAAGATATTTATATTTGTATTACTTCTTTATTTCAACTAGTATCTGAATGCAGTTTAAAAGTTTCCTCTTATTCAAATGAAACGATTTCACTTTAGTGCTGCCACGATTAGTCAACGCATCACAACGACAAACAAAATGGTCAACAATAAATTTAATAGTGCACACGTCGCTTTTTCTATGAGCATTCTTTAAATATCGCCTGCTCTAGGCACATACGCAGTAGTAGTCATCTGGGTCAGCCCATACTTGCCAACCCTCCCGATTTTCCTGGAAGTCTCCCGATTTTCAGTGCCCCTCCCGGAAATCTCCCGGGGCCGGGAGTTATTTACTGTAATATACTTATTACAGTTAAAAAAATAAAAGCGTTTCTCCTTTTCAACGGATGAGTATGTTACAAAGCCAAACACATGCACATCGTAGCAAGCTAACATGCTGACCGAGGCCTTTTTGAACATGTTGGCTTCCTGGTTCTAAAAGCTATACTTTTATTAATGACACGATTAGTCAACAAATCGTCAACAAAACTGGCGATTTGTCTACTATTAAAATAGTTGTTTGTGGCAGCCCTGTTTCTCTTTAAAAAAAACTTAAGAATTAGGACTATGTTCCGTGTCAATGCAATTTAACTTACATCGTTGTCGAGACTCTCCAGCAAAGACATCAACTCCTTGTTTCCCTCAAAACGCTTTGACCTATACAGCAGAAGCAGTTTCTGGAGATTGCCATCTAGGCCCTCATAGAAAGAATTGATGTCCACTGACATCAGACGTGTGAATTCCTTGACAATCTTTAGGGAGATGACAAATAAAAAAAATGTAAAAGGGTTATAAAATACATTTTAAAATGGTAACTATATATACATTTAGATAGCAATAACCTAAAACACACCTGTCTTTCAGTAAAAAGGGCAGACCATCTGGCTTTCATTTCCACTACAGGTGGCTCTTCTTCTACTATCTCCTTTCTTCTCAGAGCAAATGTGGCATTCATGCCACTGTCAATGAAATCCAAGTTTGGCTTTGCTTTCGCCATTTCTTGGGAAAGCATCATTCGCTCCTCATCCAGTTTTTTTATATCTCTCCCTTGGGGAAGGTCTGGTAGAAAGTTTGTTTCCGACCTTCTGGGTTTTTTTACTTTGTTTCTTCTTCCTCGTGTATCCCCTGAACCTCTCTTATCAGAGTTTATCTTCAGTTCCTGACAGCCAGCATCTCTTAGCTTCTGCCTGTAATTGCCCATCTTAAATTTTAGACTTATTTTCCATCCATACCATCCTGATGTGGAACCTGGTTCTTTGAGGCAAGGGTGTTTTTCAACAAGGCTGTGGGCTGCTTTTTCAAAGTCTTCATTTGCAGGGTATGCCTTAAACGAAAACATTTTTTCTGCCATCTTATCCAGGATTTCAGACTTCATATCTTTTGAAAGAGTTAAAAGTTTTCCATGGGATTCAAAAATTTCATTTCCCTGCCTAAGCCTAAGTTCTACATCAAATGAAAAGGTGGGAACTGGAAATACTGTTGGCCACTGCTGAGAACGTCCTGAAAAAGAAACTGATTGGCCGCTACTTGTGGATGTGGAGGAGGAAGCTGACAATATTAAATCAGAACTACAAGAGTCCAAATATGGCTCAGCGGAATCAGGGCAAAAGATGACTTTCAGTGTTGCCTTGTCCTTTGAAAGATCATCAACACATGTCAGGTTACAAAAGTCTTTAAAGTCTGTGTCTTCATATTGAAGGTCAAAACACTGGTTCAGCTGCAGTTTGTTTTTTACATCCAGCTTAAGGTCTTCAACTGATTTAGGAACAGAATCCAGTCTTATCTTTCTGATGTCCTGAGGTGAAAGTATGACACGCAGCAGCATCTCTTTTGAGGCACCACCTTTGTTTTCTGTGAAGTATGCAAAAACACAAAAATTATTTAATGACAAGCTTTTGCTTTCTAAAATGTAGAGTAAGAAATCCTGGAAATTTTATTGCAGGGTACAATAATTTGTAAGTGATTTTGAAATGAAAACTAAATTATTCAAAAAGAAAAGGTCACAAATCTAACAAAGCAGCAGCACAGCGATGAGAACATTCAAATAAGCTAGAAACATACACAAGCACATTCAATGTAGAAAAATAAAATCTGAAAATATTCCAGAAGGGTAGGGCTGCTCAATTTTTTATCTCAATTATAGGGATGTAACGATGCTCCGAAAATCAATTTGAAATACGTGAAAAGTAGTTTAAATATCCATCGTTGTAGAAAAAAAGGAAAACTGATTTACAACGACCACATATATTACATTTATTATTATTATTATTATTTATTATAAAGTGTGGGTAAGAATACTTTTGTAAGGCACTTAAGCCATGCAACACTGACTTGCCCAAACTAAACATACAAAGCAGTTCAATTCTACCTTAATGAAGTAGGAAGGCTTTTGGTGTCACGATCACTTTTCCTGCTCGTGTGTATGGATACAAAGGTTGAAATCCATTTAGTTCATGTGGTTCTACAATCTGAAGCACAGAAGGCTGCTTTTCCACAAGCTCATAGCTCTGCAGGTGCTCCAAGTACCACACGTGATATGGTGCAATGATGAATGACACTTTCCCATCTATTATCGCAATTTTCAACAACTTCCCAAAGTCTGGTAATCCACTTGTGTGCCCCTTGGACAAAAACATTCCCTCAGAATACTTTGTGCCTTTTACAGAAGCATGGGTTGCTAGAGAAACAAATGTAATATCTCCATATTTCAAAATTAATGCCTGTTTCATATTGTCTTTCAGAGTTTTAGGGGAAACAAGTGAACAACGTTGAACTTCCAGATCAGGTTTAAAAAGACTAGGCAGATTGAGATAGTAGGCTAATGTGAGTTGCTGTTTTGTTGCCAAAGTTAGCAAAATGTTTTTGAAATTGTGAGAGGTATGGATAACCCTTTTAAAAAAACTGTGTTTTGCCTCAAACCTAATGGTCCAAAAATCCACAACAGGCCCAAATCTTCTAATTAGGTCTGGGTAATGTTCTAAGTAATGGTGTTTTGGCAAGAGGTGAAAATCTGGAAATACCTCTTTCAACAGACACCTGTGATCTGAAATTTTACACCCCAGGTATGACAATGACTCTTCTGAAAAGTAACAGCTAGCCAAAAGTTCCACTATTTCTTTCAAATCCAGAATAATTTGCCAGGTTTTGTCATTTTCAGGTATAAGATGACCAATCATTAATGGAAGCAGCCGTAAAAGCGTCCAGTTTTCATGACAGTTTCCACTGATGGAATTTTTCTGAGCAAAAGATTGTGATATTGGTTTTGGTCTATTTATTTTATCTGTAAACTTGAATGGGAAAGATTCAATGATGGAATTCAAATGATCTAATGTAAAGTACTGCTTTGATATAAGATTTTTCAGACACAAGCCTAATTCTTTAGGAAGAATACCTTCAAAAACATCATGCATAAAATCAGGAGGAAATCCTTGGATGGAGTGAAAATATGAAAGTAGGTTGAGAACACAGTCTCTTTTTACTCCATTAACTACATCTAACTGCTGACTTTTCAACTTCTGTAAATCACTTTCGTAGGTCTCAACTGTTCGCAGAGGGAACACTCTGTCCTTGACCTCAAATGTGTCAATATCTTGCCGGCTAGCTAAGCAAAAGCGGCAAAATTTGTCAACATTAAAACTTTCTTGGAAACCAGCTAAAGAGTGAGCCCCTAAGTTGTCTGCTGACACATAAAGCACAGTTCCTCTTATAGTTGTTCCCAGTCTCTGAATGTACACACCTTGTTGTTCAAGTATTTGCAAGTCTTTAATCAGTGGTTGTAGAACTGCATCATATCCATGTTTTTTAACATCACTACTGTGACACAGACAAGCAAGATAGATTGACTGCACAGATGACCTGCAATCCAAAGGCAAATTTGACAAGACCCAGTATACAGCGCAGACTTTGTGGATTTTTTTGGATGTCCCTAGTGGGTTACAGGTTTCAAACTCATCTATATAAAGGCCCAGAGCAATTCGTAGATCTTCAGATGTAAAGAAAGTATTGTCTTTGTAATATGAACTGTCCCTGTATGTTTTATACTGGCAGTAGTGGCCCTTGGTTCCGCTGTGCTCAGCTTCAATAATTTTATCTAACACATCATTACGATTTAGTAATTCAGACAGCACTTTTAAAATTGGAATATATGCAAATTTACGATGCAAATGGGCATCTAAAATATATTCTACTGCCTCAATTACTTTAAAATGGGTCTTGTAGTATGTTGTTCTTTTGTAATCGGAGCAAAAAGGGCCGTTCCTTGACAGAAAGCTTAAAGGGTTAGCTTTTTTAACAATCTCTGTTATAGCTGCAGTGACAGAACTATTAACAACACAATTATGTTTGGTTATAACATTTTCAATAAGTTTTGGGGTGAACTCTTCTAAAACTAAATTTAAATTTGTTAGCTCATTTATTATTTCCTGAGTAGTTGCCTTTGAAACATGTAAAATTGTTTGCATACGCAGTAGGAGGGAGGCAAATTGGTGCTGAAGTAAATCACTTAGATCCTGATCATTTAATGGCTCTTCAGTTGTTAACGCATGAGAATCTGACTCTATCTGTAATTCATTTTGAAAGCCCACATTAACCAAAGCGCAATTCCTATGCAAGTTTGAACGAAATTTTTCTACAGAACACTGTTGATGCTTCTTACATTTATGCGCACGAAAAGTGCTATACACATTTGACTGAAAATCACAGTCTATGAAAGGGCATTTCACAGTTTCTTTGTGGTTTAAGTGTTTTTTTAAATGTGCAAAATATTCTGTAATTGTGCAAGTCTCTGAAAAGCAGCAAAGTTCACAAATCAAATTTAAAGTAGCTGGATTTTCAGAGGAAGAACAGCTGTGATCTCTAGCTAAATGTTTCCTAAGGGAAGATTCAGTCCTGAAGGAGCACACACAGTCTGCATAAAGACATGGAAGAGGAAAATGTCTTGCCTGAGTACAATGCTTCAATTTATAATGGGTGATTAATGTGCGACGGTTTGGTGAGGAGAAACTACAGCACTTGCAGAACCATCTCATGAAGACCAACACCCAGAGACAGCCAAAATGAGTGGTGAAACCTGAAATAGACAAAATAATAAAAGGGAATCATCAATAATGAACAAACCTAGGAGTTAAAACAGTATTAAATGTTATATAGGTTCTAGCATTTGCATGCAACCACTAACTTCAGTAAACATACACATAACCATGCATGTAAGAGAAGGCAGACCTGATTAGGTTTATATTAATTAAGTTAAATGATTCAGTTGCTTTGGGATGGGGAATTATGTGGCTACCATGACTGGGTCAGCCTCTAAAAATGTTCTAGTAAATTATTTTACATTATTCACATGCTAAACAAAAATAAAAATATAACCTGAGATGCACAATACAGGCAATCATAAGTGTAAGCTTTATAATATTCTTTGCAACAAGAATAAAGTGCTCAGTTAATGTTCTTGTGTTTAAATATTTGTACTGGTGTTTAGTTCTTTTCATATTATCTCTTTCTCTCACTCACACACAGACGCGCGCGCGGACACAAACACGAGCCATCCTTCCTTCTCTGCAGCTCAGCAGTGCTCAGTGGTCTTCAACAAGCCCAAGAAAAAATAACTACACCCATGCGCGCGTGCCGCTTCTTAACGGTACACTATGGAGAAATATGTCCGGTACACGGTGTCTAGTTTGAGGCGCGAGTTCATAATCCCATCCTCTATTGTGCGGTCAGCTACACCGAACCGGACTCAGCCCGCTCCAAGTATGGCATATCAAACCCTAACCATCTCGGATGGAGAGGGAAAGGGTCAGCAGGCGAGCGGGATGAGAAAAGGGGTTACTCAAGCGGGAGAATGGAGTGTCAGCTAGCTTAACCGCACTGAGAGCGGGAAACCGCAGGCGAACGAGTGAGAGGAGAAAATGGGTTTTTAATGCTGTAAAACTCAAAGTTTTACATTTTCCCCCGAAATTTTCATAAAATCGATCGGACGAACAGGCAGACAATACCAACTTTTTTACCGGGTGGGGTGGTGGGAGTATATGTGCTCATAAACTAGCTAGTTCAGCAAAATTAAACAGAAATATAGCATAAAATATTGAATTAAAATGACGAAATAGTAGAGTTAAAAACAAACATCCTAGTTACCGAATGTTAAGCCGAAATAAATCATTAAAAGATTAAAAGTATTGAATTAAAATATACTCACTCAGAATCTGAGGGACCAAGTCCAAGCCAGAAAGAAAATGGTGGTGACTTGTTCTGGAAATTTACCGAAGATTGTACCATGTGACTTTTACGTCACAATGTGGCGCATGCGTATTCTGTACAGATCGCCTACAACCAGTTATCCCAAATAAACAGAACTTAATATTTGGAGTTTTTCTCTGTCTTTTTAAGTTGAAGTTCTTCTAACATATTTTCATCAGTTAAATGAGGTCATGTGTACAGTTAACTTGATTACATCAGCCCAAATGACTAAAACACTTTATCATTTATTACAGTGTATCCCCCACGGAGGAATTAGTTCAAAATGATTAAATAAGAGTTAGTTTACACCAGCTCTTGTCTTCTCAGAATCTCCCCAAGAACTCTTTCTAGTCTCTCTCTCTGTCATCCCCCATCCAGGTTTGGACGGGGGATGACCCCTCCCCATCTGCTCTCCTCTCTGTCCTCTGCCCCAACTGCTGTCGAATCTCTCAATCTCTATCTGCTGTTAAGAGCTGTTCTTATATACCCTTCCTGGACCAGCTTAAGGTCATGGGGTCATTTACCAGATACACACTTTGTAGCTCAACACAAAACATTTGGTGTCATTTTCACTACATGCAGCATTCTTCTTAACACAGGTCATTACATCATCTTTTGCAGCATTCTTCAGTTTCTCTCCAATGTTCCCGAGAAGGCTTCTGGATCTGATGGGCTTGTCTTCACTCTGTTCTCCTCCAATCCCATCTTTCCAAGCCAGGGGTGGGGCAAAGAGGTGGGGTCAGTCTCCTGACCCTTCGCCCAGTTCTGTCCTCTTGTCCCTGTGACCCTTGTGTGACCCTTGTTTCTGACCACAGTTTTTTGACCTGCAGCCCAGCTCCTGTCGGCTGGCTGATTTTGCTCGCACAAGCCAGTCCAGTGTGTTTCAGCTTGCCACTGTCTTTGGCATGTGGGGACTCGCAACAAGAGGAACAGCATATAACTGGTTAAAAAGCTACTTAGGAAGACAACAATTCACAGAAATACATAATGTAAAATCACCAACAAAACAAGTGTACTGT